GGGAGTGGGGGGGGGGGGGGGGGGGGGGGGGGGGGTTTCATAACTCTGTTATGTAAGTCACTAGGGTAACTCATGTACAATGATGATTTTGAGAATCAATCAGGGACTTCCTGTTTTATTTCTTTTTCAAACAACCTATCACTCTTATACCAAACACTACTGGCTTCGGATGCCAGCGTGTTTCCCATGTGTTTACTCGCACTCTGTTTTAAATCATGATATGCTCTGGAAAAAGGCATACTTCAGTTTGGCAACATCCAGTATATACTTCACACTATGCTGGATACTGTGTCTCTGTGGTTGGGTAAATGTGCGCCAGAATCTGTGATTTTTTTATTGTTGTTGTCAAGTTTTTCCCTGTTTACACCTGCTTGTGGTTGCAGCATTCCACAGAATTTCTGCTTCTGTTCTGCAAAACCCTACAGTTGACAGAAGAGATGATGTTTTCTTGCCATGGCTTGTTGTGGGCGGGGGGGCGCCAAAACTGCTTCAAAGCCGTTTGCCTGGCTCAATAGTCGCTCCTATTGTTGGGCTATATCAAAGGCACAGTCTGCTTATTTGAACAGGTGACTCCCATTAAGTCCGATGACCTGGCTGGCTGTTTGCCAGCAGTGCTGCCGCGGCTTCGCAGAGCTTGTCTAGTCGGGACGCTAATACCTGATGATCTCAGTGCCAGGTCGCAGATTGAATAATTGCTGAGCTATGGCACTCTGTAGGTCTCCGGAGTAATTGTTATGGGAGAAGCTGGGGGCCGCTGCTCCCCGAACGCTCATGGAGGTCAGGATTTCATTTGTCCACTTCCTTTTGGCTTGTCCAACCTGGACGGCCTGCTTCACTTTTAATGAAAGCTGTCTACACTGCTGCCATCAGTATGCAGTGATGGCACATTATATGTATTGGGTCTGAACTCATGATTATGGAAGAGATGATTTCTTCACATCTGCTGTAAGATGATATAACATTTTTCCATGCATTTTTCATGATGCAAACTTGGATGTGCGGAGTCCATTTGTCCATATCATAATGCCTCCCTCTAATGATTTTTTTTCTTTCTTTCTTTAGCAAGGAACAGAGGGCTTCTGGAAGTCTGTAGCGCACTCTGTGCCCCGGCAACCCTCAGAGATACGAATCCTGAACCCCTACTTCATACAAGAGGCTGCCTTCCAGTTTATTGGCCTTCCACAGAACAATGGCCTCATGGGTAAAGGGGTAAGCAACATGCTTGTTGAATTTTAGTATTTTCATAATATTGTTTACGTTAAGTTATTATGAAGTTACTTGAGTTGGTAACTCTTCGAGAATAACTGTTCAACTGCCCGGTTTATTGAACCAAAATGTCAGGCAATGCCTTTAGTCAACCTTATGTTTATAGGGGTCACAGGAAGCCTTAGACACGTGTTTCCTCAATTAGTCTGTAATTACCATAAAGATCACCATAGGTCAAAGGTAGCTTGACTAATCCAATGGGTGGGCAGAGCTTATGGTGCGTATTTTGTCTAAACCTGGACAAAGATGTGTTTAAAAACTTGTTATCCAGTGCCTAACATGAAATTGATTTAAACCGTAATATTATAATATTTTATAATAATATATTATAAAATAATAATTTTATAATATATAAAAATAATGCTGCTTGTGTAAGTTGATTTAAATGGGAAAAAAAACTGCCAGTATGAATAACAAAGGTCACTAAACATAAGTTGTATTTTATGTTTTGCTTAAATTTTGCTTAAATTTAAGCAATCTGGAAATTGCTTAAATTTGATCTGGAAAATAAAAATTTTCCAGATCACTTGTTGTGTAAAAGTGGGGATGCTTTTATTTTATTTTATTTTACTAGATATAACTCGCATGTACAGTAAATGTTGCTCAATCTATAGTGATCAGGATTGTTTGCCATTCAGAATTAAATAAAGAATGCCTTTTTAAATTCGGTTAAATTCCTCAATTTGAGTTTAATTTAAATTGATGTAGCAACTGGATGCAGAATTGCTATTTTAATTTAAAGTGCCCTTATTATGGATTTTTTTTAAATTACCTTTCATGCAGTGTGTAACACAGCTCTAAGTGAATGGAAACAAACGGCAGAGTTTTAAATCTGAAAGTGCACAGTGTATAAAGTTATTGTCTCTCAAAAGAAAGAGTCGACTCTGAATCATTGAAACGAGTCGTTTTTAAAACGAATCGCAAGCCGTTTCATGTTGACTTCAAGGTGAAACATTAGCATATTGCCTTCCCATTTGTTGGTCTTTTTGGTCTGAATGAAAATGCAAATTCATTCTTTACCACTAGGTGCCGCTTTTGGAGCGGTAAAATAGTGGTTTCCCCGGTAACGCTGTACACAAAGCAGCACTGCGCATTACAGGCATGATGAAATGAAAATGAGACCAATCAGACCAATCACTGCAGATTAGCGTCACGCAAAGTAGGGGTTTGGGAAAAATGAATCCTTGAGCGAATCGTTTGGGAGTCGCTGAGCAAGTAAAGTAAAAATAAATGCATATTATAAGACAATGAAAGTGTTTTTGACCTTGCATGCATGTCATCCTGTTGTTGGGGACTCCCAAAACCAAAATATGAACCTTTCATAACCCATAATAGGGGCACTTTAAGAAGAATTCAAATGAATTGAAATTCTTAGAAATTTTCAATGCTTTATAAACCTTTAAAGGGGTCATATGATGCGATTTAAATTTTTCCTTTCTTTTTGGAGTGTTACAAGCTCTTGGTGCATAAACAAGATCTGTAAAGTTGCAAAGACTAAAGTCTCAAATCCAAAGAGATATTCTTTATAAAAGTTAAGAGT